ATTATAGTGACTATATTTGCTGTGTTGGTTGATGGATTTTATTATCAGATTGATACTGATCAAAATGGATATCAAAACAGGTGATCAATGACAGAGAAGGAGAAAGAGGAATCTGATGCATGTTAATGTACAATGTACCTATGCTATGTAGAAAGTTTGAGCTGATTCTGACTTGAATTTTTCAAGTTATGGCCATTTTTAAAATCGGCCAATTTCCTGTACTATAGCCCATGGTTTTTCCAGAAAATGGCTCAAAAATCACCCCCAATTTTTATTACATTTTTTGATACATATTGATGCCCTTATGCTATGTAGAAAGTTTGAGCTGATTTCGACTTGAATTTTTCAAGTTTAGGCCATTTTAAAAAATGGGTCAATTTCTGAAAAATTCCTGTACTATAATACCCCATGGTTTTTTCCAAAAAATGGCTCAAAAATCACCCACAATTTTTATTACATTTTTTGATACATATTGATGCCCTTATGCTATGTAGAAAGTTTGAGCTGATTTTGACTTAAATTTTTCACGTTATGACCATTTTAAAAAATCGGCCAATTTTTGAAAAAACTCCTGTACTATAGCCCATGGTTTTTTCCAAAAAATGGCTCAAAAATCACCCACAATTTTTATTTCATTTTTTGATACATACTGATGCCCTTATGCTATGTAGAAAGTTTGAGCTGATTCCGACTTAAATTTTTCAAGTTTTGGCCATTAAAAAATATCATCCAATTTCTAAAAAAAAACCTGTACTATAGCCCATAAAAATGGCTCATAGAAATCACATCTAATTTTCATGTGTTTTTTTGATAGATTTTACTACATGTATAACTTACATCATTTTTGTTTGTTATTAGGATCGGAGCTATTTTCTTCATTGTGATGAATCAGATATTTGGTAACTTGTCAGCCATTGACCTCTTTATAAAGCAGAAGCACATATTCATGTAGGAAGAAAATGTATTCAGTACATTTCATTTTAATAATAACTGATTTACAATGTATGTTAACTGCCATTTAGACACCATGTTGTGTAGCTTTTACATGTACATGCATTCTTCTTTTACTTTGCACAATTATTAAACAATCTATATCTACATGTACATGTATTTGTGTCAACTAATACATGTATTAATTATGTCGAGATTCTAAATGTGCACAATGTACTATAGCTTTTATCCAGGCTTTAAGAGCAGACCTGATGCATGCAATTGTACACGTACATGCACATGTATTGTACATCTACAGGTACATGTACATGTACATTGTACTTGTATTTGTTTCCAACTAACATTAATTATTATGTCAAGATTCTAAATGTACATAATACATGTACTCTTATAGCTTTTATTCAACCTTTAATATTGATGCAAGCAATTGTATGTGCATGCATGTACATGTACAATGTACATAACATGCAAACATGTATATGTACAGTACATGTATTATTGTACAATTTTATTTCTTTCTATAGTCATGAGAATGCCAGTGGGTTCTACAGGGTTTCCTCGTACTTCATTGCTAAGGTTCTCTGTGACATTATACCAATGAGAGTATTACCACTCTGTATATTTGCATCAGTGACATACTTCATGATGGGTAGGAGAGGGAGAGAGGGAGGGAGAGAGAGAGAGAGGGAGGGAGAGAGAGAGAGAGAGAGAGAGAGAGAGAGAGAGAGAGAGAAATAGAGGGAGCTTGACTATAAAGCATTACTATAAACCAGCGACTACTTTATTTAGCGTTTATGCTTCAATGTCAAATTAGCTATTAAATTAGCATTTTAGGCCATTCACTAATATTGCTAAAATTAATAGCACACACTAAAATTACTACATGTAGTTTTACAGTAGTATTTTTCTTA